AGTTTGGGGTTGTTAGGGGGGTGTATGGGGGTATTGGGGGCCGCTATTGGGGTGTTGGTGGGGACACACACACACACACACATGTATGGGGGTATTGGGGGCCGCTATTGGGGTGTTGGTGGGGGTACTAGGGGTTCTGGACCCTAAAATAAAATAAAATAAATAAATAACTTTATCCAGGGTGCCGACGACCCCCCGACCGGTAGGTGGTGACTACCCGACCGGTCGGCTGGTCGGCAGCCGACCAGTCAAGGGCCGCTGGCCGTCGGGTTATGCAACACTGCTGGCCCTTTCAAAATCGGATACTCCCAGTGCCTGCCTGGTCAATGACGGCTACACATCTGGAGCTGTTGACAAGCAGACACGAGTTCAAGTACAGTAATACGGTACTAATACCCAACGATGGGAAAGACGGTTCAAAGACCACAATGACAAAGATCAAACCATTATTTCTTCCTACAGGTACTGAGAGCTAAGACAAACATGAACGGGACGAAGCCAAAACAAGCACATTATGAGTAATTTTATTACTATCTACTAGCCATTTCCTATTATTGACTTATTGCCAAGTTATTGGCCATTTAATACCCCCTATCATGCAGTAAAGATTTCCAGCCGTCCCAGACAAGTGAAAGGTGTGTGTTCCCCCAGAGGGTGTCAGGCACTGACTGGGGCAACTGTTTCTCCATCTAAGCAGCCAGCGATCTGTCCCCAGGTGCAAACACAAACAGGGTGCCGGAAAGGGGAGAGGAAGACAGCCATTGCTCATGGAGTCTCCAAACACACACCACTTTGTGCTAGAAAGGCTCTCATGTGTATCCCCAGGTGCACGCGCAAAACACGCGGAGCAGTGAAGAGGTCAGAGGAAGAAAGACCTCAAGCATCAAGTCAGTCACCGTGGTAACTTGTTTGTCACCTACTCTGAAAATTTTGCGGATTGGGCCTACCGAACCACAATGGCTGGCAGCACCAGCCAAAAAAAGAAAGAAAGAAAGAAAATGCGCCCTGGCGGTTCAGAGAACGCCTCCAGGCGTCATATTGCGCTCTCCAATTGTATTTTATCCAACAAATGCAATAGATAAAAACATACCGAGTTTAATTTCATTGTGTTTTTTTCCCACTTTTCAGTCTTTTGTCTCTACATTCGCAGATCCATTGCATCTTCAGAACTCTTCACCTACGAATAACTGAGAGGTAACTAGCGGTTACTGCTTACTGATGTCTTTTTGCTTTTTGTAATAAGAGAAAGGAAGAATCACGGCCACAAAATAAGAATAACACAACCCCACACCGCATTTGGAAGAGGTGGAATCAGCTCTGGAGACCAAGCACTGTCACTTGCCAAAGCACATTCCATGGTATATAGCAACAAGCTCATGCCTGCATCCCTCGCAGGGAGATATGTTGCCCGAACTCGCCTCCTCTGCCTAGCCATCCAAGCACTGATGCCATACCTCATTGTTTGTGGCAGCAACAAGTTCTCTCATTAGCTCATAGAAGTTTGGCCGAACCTGCACATACAGAGTAACAGAGGGGGAGAGTTATCACTACCATGCTACCATCCTTTGCTGCTTGTTGATGAATGCAGGAGAGAATGATGAGACCAAACAGTTTCCACAAGAAGCTAAGTATAAAACAAAACAGGCACTCACAATACTACAAAACAACGTATAGGTAGCAGTGTGCCATATAGCATAATGGGAAGCTGGCAGCTCAAACAGCCATATAAGAAATCAAAACCAGGAACAGGAAAGACGCGAACCAACACTGCAGCTTTAACTACACGTTTCGCGATGCAAGCACCCTGCAGCTCACATGGATGCCAGTACACAACTGCACCCTTCCTGCATCACTGTAATGCTTGGCCGCACAAGACTGCAGCAGCACTTCTGCAACAAGCTCAAATGGAAAGGTGACACTTCACTTGAGTTTACCTTTTGTTTCCGACACTTCGGTTGCCAAAAGCTCAGACTTCCCTGACCAGTACCCTCACTCGCTGGCCGCAACCGCCCTTCGACACATCCGGATTCCTCACCAATTTTCTTGGGACTGAGCTGGTGACTGTACTGACGGGCGCACTGGGCTTACCAGACTTAGGTGTCCTACCTATCGGACTGGCATTATGGCACATGGGACTCGGAACCTTGGGACCACAACTTGAGAGAAGATGCTCATGCGCATGAAATCCTCCATTTGTCCCATAGGCCCACCATGGTCCCAAACTCAACCCTCTGAAGTTCATTAGGGAGAGCAGGTGTGTCTCAAAGAAGGAGATGAAACAGGGATGATGGTGCGGGGCAAAGGACCGTGCCCAAGATGTACTACTATTCGATTTGGAGTCGAGAAACAAATTCCGTCCCATGGAACATGCTTGTAGAGGGGACATGCTAATCTCCCCTTCCAAAGACCCCCCTGTACACCTGCACTGCCACCTATTGAACTGAACACCATGTCATGTTAGTTCACCAGTTCTCCTTAGCCACCTTGTGTTGCATGGTAAATCCAGGGCTATGGGTTGGACCGATAGCGGCCTGGCAGATGAACACTTGTCCCCTGTGCCCCGTTGGTCCATCAAATTTCCCTGGGGTCTCACTGCATGGTGTCACATGTCACCTGCATTGTGGAGGCATACGAAGTGTTTGCCTGTCGTCGCTTCTCCATCAGCAGAAGGAGACAGGGAGAGAGGGAGGAGGGCATAGAAGGAAAGGGGGTTTATCAAGCAACAGGAGTAACACACAGCAAGAGAGACTCTCTCTCTCTCTCTCACACACACACACACACACCATGGCACCATAGCCAGTTTCAGGCAAGAAAAAATCAAAATGTGACGTTGTGCGGGAGTGGCGGCCCGACCAATGAGTGGGCTGGCCCCCTGGGTCCACCAAGTTGCCCAGGGTCTCAAAGGATGGCATCACATGACACCCGCTTTTCATTTTATGAGATAAGCATAGATAACGGATAGAAGATAGATAGATAATCGGTACTGGTCTTGACTGCAGGCGGCCAATAAAACATTAACCCCGCTCCCTCGTCCGGGGGAATGCGCGGATGGGCGCATGGGCAACCACTACACTACCAAATGAATATTTTGCACTGTTTATCCTCTCAGGCGCAATAGAGAAGGAGATGCTGGATTAGTCCGCCAGCGAGATGGATACTATAAGCAAAACTTGTCAAAAATCATTGTGCACAGATAGGCAAATCGATAGATGGAGAGAGAGATTAGATAATCAGAACTGGTCTTGACTAGGCAATGCTCAAGACTTTGCCACGATCTGCAGCCAGGCACAATTTCAGACTTTTTTATGGCGTTCTGCCTAGATGGAGACCAGGCACATCAGACTTTTGTTCCGCTGCTCCTACTCTTAGGATACCCGCCTACCATGCACTTTTTTTATATTACTCTATGCACATTTTTTTATATTACTGCTTGGACACACACATCAGTACAACTTCACCTCGTCACAGGTAGTCCCTAACTTACCCCTTTCTCTTGCCTCATTCCTTTGACTACCATCCCGATTGCCATATCACCTGTGAATACAACAAGTCAAGAGAAAATAGCCGTAAGGGAAAAAATGGAGAACTGACCACAAACACAAAGAGCCACAATGTGATTTCCTCTCCGAATATAAAATGCACTTGTCAGACTTGCTGCAGAGCTCGAGGAAACCAGGTCAAACGACCTCAGATAATCACATGGCCGCCACTCTCTCTACCACCATTCACTTATCTGGAGTAACCCTGCTATTGCTCCACCTCAACAAGCTCTCAATCTAAAATTCCCATGACCTCCTCTCTCTATCTCTCTCTCTCTCTCTCWCACACACACACACACACACACACACACACACACACACACACACACACACACACACAGCAGATACAACCCCCCTCCATCTTACCGCACCGATGTGAAGTGATGTCTGCTTCAAAGTTTTGAGGGTTAAATAACATGGAAAGAATCCCGGTGCATAACTGACATAAGCAAAACGGAAAATTTGGGAAGCCCCAAACTCTGTTGCTATGAAACTGAATGCAGCGTTTCAGAGTGACAACTACCAATTTGAGGGCTGGCAAGCACTTGTTGCTGTTGATGGAGTAAAAACAATCCCCTCAGCCACTCAGCAATTCCTCCCCAGAAAAAAATGCACTTAGAAATCAATTCTGGTTTCAGAGCCTGTCCAGCTCCAGAACCACACACACACACACACACACATGCTGATGAGTCGGTGAAAGTTCGACGAAACAATCTGGCACAGTGATGCTTTTTTCGAGTGTATAGCGAATCTGACAACACACACGCATGCACAGAGGTGCAGTCAAGGAGACGTGGATGGAAAATGAGACAGTTCAAAGAGCGATGGGGGTTTGCAGGCTTACCCACAACAATCGGCAGCATGAGCTCATCATCGGCCACCATGCTGAGGAAGATGGTGGGGGTTCCAGAGTGATAGAGAAGACGCCCTGCACCAGGATTTGTGTGAATAACCTCGACGTCTGTTCCATCCGCCATCGTCATGTATAGATGACCACGTACAGGAACCATGCGAACTGCAACAAACAACACACCACCAGGCCCGACCAAAACCTGCTGACCACCATACAGATCTCTAGATTCTCTACCCCCCTTTGTCTTCGCCCTCTGATCCCCCCTACGCTTTGAATTATTCCTGTACTTTCTCATTATCTTGTCCTTTCTGACAGCTTGACAGTGGTCACATTGCTAATGGTGATAATGATGACGGTACTAACATCGACCACCAAGATGATGATGATTACAAGAATGATGATAAGCATGATGCTAATGACAATGATCATGACGATGGTGTTGATGGTAAAGGCGGTGGGTGATGTGGTGGCGATGTGATCATGATGGATGATGATGACGACGAAGAGGATGACAGTGGTGGTGATATGACAGTCGCCTGCTTGAATAAGGAAACACATTAACAGAGCTATAAAACACTTGAGACACTAATCAATCCCATGAATGCATTCACGCTTTCACAAACAGATTCTATGGCATCCATACAGCATCAAACTGAACATAATGAAACCAATCAAACAGCATCAACTCTTGAGGTGGTGAGCACCATACATCTCTCTCTCTCTCTCTCTCTCTCTCTCTCTCTCTCTCTCTCTCTCACACACACACACACACACACACACACACAGATATAGGGAACCTTGCACTCTTAATTGTAGATTTCAGAAAGTGTTTTATTTCGTGATTGACAGACCACATACACAAAGCACACATTCAGATGCACCAAGGAGTCGCTTCCTCCATAGTCGCAATCCATGCAAGCAGGATATTTTTTCTTCTCTTCTTTTGCCAATCAGGTCCAGTCAGGGCCAATCAGGTAAAGATTGATTTTGCCGGGAACTTGCCCACCATTTTTCATTCACCAGATATAGTCTGAATTGGAACCTTGTCTGAAGTGCTCGTCTTCCTCCCCCCCTCCCTCCCCAAAAACAGAACGTTGGGTAAGACACCTCTGTCGTCACAGGGCAAGATTTGAACTCATGTTCTGTCGATCGGAGGTTCAGCAAGACTGCAGCAGTGCAAGCTCTGGGTCGTCACTTCGCATAGCTGTGCAGCTGAGGACGGCTGGACAATACAGGAATAATGTTTTCCAAGCACGACAAGGTGTGAGACCCCAACACTATCATAGTGAGCAGGACGATCTCTAAGTCTGCAACACTATTTTTGGTCTGCAGCACTGCAAGCTCTGGGCTTTGGGCTTGGCATAGCTGTTCAGCAGACAGTGTGTGCAAGATTTGAAGTTTGAACTCGTGATCTGTTGATGACTAGTACTACAAGTCTGCAACACTACGGGCCTACTCACACTAGGGCCTTTTATGGCAAAATAGCTCAAATTTGAATTGATGGTTGGGCCAGTACCACGAGGCAGGGAAAGTGGCAAAAGCAGCAAACGGGGTACCAAATGTCAGAGGCCTGGCGGGCCGCGGGGAAAGGCATTTTGCTACCACTTCTGGAGGTGGTAGCAAAAAAAAAAATCAGTTCGAGAGTTCATGAAAGGAAATTTGAAACAAACTTCGTTGGAAAAAAGAAAGTTGACAGATTTGGGCCTCGCGTTCCGTGACCACGCGAGGCACCATTTTGGCAATTGCCAGAAAGTCCGGCTCGTGTCTTTTGCGATTTTCTACTGCTATGTGACCAGGCCGGGTGGCATTTCAGCAAAATCGGGATAGCAAAATTCGCAGATTTTCCTGCTATGCCAGCGCTGTGTGAGTACGCCCTATCTTTGGTCTGCATCAGTGCAAGCCCTGGGCTTTGGAATGGCATGGCTGTTCAGCAGACAGGATGTAAACGGCTGCATAAGAGCACGGCTGTTATTGGGGGGAAAAAAAAGAAAAAAAAAAGGGCACAGCTGTAATTTGTTAAGCATTTGTTTTCATCAATGTTTCCAAGCACTGGACTCCTTCGTGACTTTCCATTTTTCCTCCCATTTTGTTCCCGTTTGCTTGCAATCCTAATGCAAACCTATTCCGCGCACACCCAAGGGTCACGAGTCCATGATGGCAGAGTAAATAAAACAAACTTATATAACCTTCTGATGCCTGTAGTGGACTTATTTGCATTTCATTTGAACTCCACCAGGCTGCCCAGCATAGCACCTAAGCTATGCCTGGCTTAGCACCTGCTATGCACTGCCCCAAGGGCACTGGTTCCCAACATGAGCCCACAGTGGGCCCAAAGGGCGGCCAAGGTCTGAGGACCTTGGGACAAATTTTCTCGCGAGTCGGTCCCGGGGTGGCCATAGGCATGGGAACTTAAACCACTCCCATGAGCATACAACTCTTTGGACAGGTCCCGATTAAGTCCCTTTGGGCCCCTTCGGACCTGGGGCCTCTGGATCACCACAATTTTCTGCCTCGTGAACCCAAAAGACAGCCGAAGGCCTTGGGTGCTTGAGACCCGGTCCCATCTATCTTAGTGTTCTTTAGGACAGGAAATTTCAAGCATGGGACCTTGGGACCATTGGCCTGCGGGACCCACTTTGCAGGGGCAGTTTCTCGCTAGCTGGGCCAAGACCTTGAAGGGTCCGGGACCTTGGGACCCAGTCCCATCTGGAATGCAAGTTCTTTTGGAGCCGGGCACTCACCCTGAAGGCAAGAGAGACAGGTCACCTACCTTTTTGGGAGAGGCCCTGGAGTGAAAGCCAAGCAGAAGTGCCTACAGCTTCTAGTCCAATTGGCCTTTTCTCACTTCTAGTGTCCCTTGCCCATTTCTCACTTCTAGTGTCCCTTGGCCATTTCTCACTTCTAGTGCCACATGGCCATTTCTCACTTCTAGTGCCACATGGCCATTTCTCACTTCTAGTGGCACTAGCTTTTAGCCGTAATCAAACTGGACATCATCATCCCAGACTACTTTGCCATACTCCGTGGATAGAAATCATGCCAAGCTGTTTCTTTTAGCAGCAAACCTCCCGCTGCTTTAGAGGTATGGTAGAGATAGGCTAAGGCACAGGAGATGTCAAGAGTGATGCGACTTTCTTGGCATGAAAAACATTAGACCATCATCTCCTCGTGTTACTATTTATGAGCCACAGTTAAACGCTCCATCACACAAAAAGAGAAAGAGAGCGCCCTTTCATCACCTGGCAGCTTCTACACATGCCACAGGGGGGTGGTAGGAGCGGCGCTAAAGGCAGGAGGTATCAGGGAGGCCTGCAGTCGGAGGATATAAGGGTGTCACTCAGCGAGTTTGAAAACCAGTGTCCAGGATATAAGGGTGTCACTCAGCGAGTTTGAAAACCAGTGTCCTATTTTAAACCACCAGTACATCCCCAAAGTGCGGCCATACATAAGCTCGGATGCAGGAGGACGTATCGCCTGCCGTGCAAGTACGAATTCATTCATGACGAGCCATTGAGGCATTGTACCGATGGCTTGCACATACACAGCTGCACTGTGGGGAGGTACTAGTGGTTTAGCAAACCTATCAATTTTCCCGAAGCCTAGAGCACCTTAGCCAAGAACATGGTCAAGCATGTAGGAGCAATATGCATAGGATTTATGTTTTTGAGAAAATGTGCCCCATCTATTCTTGGGGGCGGCAGTCCAGTTGCTTATCACCGGCAAGCAAGATACAAAGTTCAAGATAGAGGAGAAGCAGTCAGCTCAGCCCCATACCCTTGTTGCCCTGGATGCGATGCAGGGGGGGCTGGGGGAGCAGTCTGGTGGTGTATGCTCGGTCCCACCCACGGCACGCAAAGTGGCTGGGAAACCTCATCCTCCGTGTGCGTCCCTACACACTGTGCGCTCTATCACATGGTGTGTGACTGGGTACCGGGCCTCCGTGTACGTCCCTACACACTGTCCGCTCTATCACCTTCATGCCTTCGAATACAACTCCCCTCTGCCATCCTTGAACATCTATTATACCCAAAACCTGTTCCCTTATTTTTGCCACTAGAGGTTTTTTTGCCATCCAGACTTCTGCAATGAACCCAGGCGAGATAACACTCATTGAACATCCAGATACTGTTCGCAGCAACGCACGAGCATCAGCGCTCGTGCAGCAACAGTCCAATGGCTCAATGGCAAAGCAACTCGAGTAATCCAGTCTTGTTGATGAATAATGTCGAACAGATCTGTTCCACTATATGAGTATATACATACATAGACGAGAGAGAGAGAGGGGGAGAAAAGACTTAGAAGAGAAGTTGCCCACTTCTCCTTCGGGCCAATCAGAGTCGCCCCCTCTCCAGCAGCGTCAATCCAGATACAGATCTGCGTTCCTCAAAGTGCCATGTGGCACATCAGCATTCTCTTCATCAGCGGAGCAGCAATGTCGCCTCACACAGGTACGTGTCATCTCATCCCCACAGTCCTTGAACTCCTTCCGGACGACGATAGCCTGAACATCGAATGAACACATGGTACCGCCACATCACCAACACCCTACGTGGCAGCAGCCACGTCAGCAACGACACATGGCGCTGCCACGTCAGCACCTTGTAGACAAGACCAAGCCAGTCCCCGTGCCAGCAAGCAAGCAGCGTGTCGCTGCTGAGAAACGCCAGCTTCCAACTAGCAATTAGCCAGCATCTCACAAGCCAGCGTCGCGTCAAAGTAGAGTCAGCCTTGACTCACGACAGAATGAATGATGTCAAAGCCAGGAGTCACCTCTAAGTAGTGTTGACTCGGGGTCAATGCCCCGCTGCAGTGGTCCTGTGCCGTCAAGATCTTGATGCGGCGACGGCCTGGATCGGTCTGCAACTGTTTCTCCCTTGGTCCGATGTCTTGGCCCGGTACCTGCATACAACACATGTGTGTATCTGTTCGTGGACTTGGGTACGGTACCTGCGACCCGACAGTTGACTTTGACCTTTGAATTTCCCCAGTCCAGCGCTGGGTCTCACTGGCCAGACGCTGGGCTGGGCCGGGCAGTGCGTGGTCACACGGCCGGCCTCTGCAGAGTGCGGGTTACTGCACTTCTTTTTTTTTCTCCCAATAAGTTCCCCAAGTTTCGCCAGCGGCCTAGCTCAATTGGTAGAGCACATAAGTGGCATTCAGGA